GCTCACTTCATGAAATAGTCGAAATCCAATCTTCATGTTGAAATAAACATGAAGATTATTGATTGTCGAAATACAAGTTGATGATTGTAAGAAATGGATAAGTACATAAAGCAAAAAGGACACAAAAACAAATTCATGTGGATTCCACCTCATGTAGGAATTGTGCTCAACGAGGTGGCTGAGTTGGCCAGACAAGACATGAGTACAAGTTGATTTTGAACGTGTTTTACATTTTACATTAACCAAGAATAACTAAAACCAAAATAAAAAAATATGCAGGCGTAGGCAGAAGGTGCGAGGAGAAGTATAATATATGAAAGAAGTCACACCATTAAACACAACATGTGTGTATCAAAACACAATTATAATTTACGGAAAAAGGATACACCTAACATTGAGAATATAAAACAGGTGCTAATGAAAATGAAACTAAGTGTAAATTATGCGGTATGTTGGTGTCACACCCTCATCCATTACGTCCATGACTGGCCGTTGATTAATGTATATAGAAATAATGAAATAAATGACTATTTGTGAACAAATTCCCCGGTTGTGTCACAAGGGAAAGCCTGATGATATTTTGGAAAGATGTAATAATTTTGCACCAAGAATGTAAACCTTTGTTGATTTGTCTCACTGTTTAGTTGTAGCCTCTTCACTATTACTTACGACTATGTACTTGTCCTTAGTTGTAAAAGTATTTGTATGTATTTGTGTATACGTTTAGTGTAATATATTGCCTGCGTACAGGAATAAATGCACTGTGTATGTTTACCAACCAGAATGATCAATAATATGTCGATAGTTTGTGATGTGTGTAAATATATATGAAAACGTTATACTGAACGGGGTGAAAATAGTTTTAGCTACTCTAAACTACTTTAAAGTAGTTTAGCTTTAAACTAAAGCTACTCTTTAGCTACTTTAGTATTCCTGTGTGTGTATTTATACCTCAATAAACTTACTTCAATTTCAAAGTTCGTCTGGAATGCGCATCTCATTCTACGCAAGTCCTTCTGAGAAGTGTGTCATAGTCTGTGGGCGTAGCCTGTGCCCAAGGACTATAAGTGTAAAACTCATTCTAAGCAAGTACACCCAACTCCTCGAGATAAATAATTAATTATATGTCACTAGGAATAATAATACACAGCCACCAGTGTAACATGTCCTTCGATGTTAGCACGTCCTGTTCTTATGATGTGTTTAACAACCTTTGGGCCTACACTCTTGGAATTAAACATAAGTACCGGACACAACACCAGATCAAAACCATGGTCTCATGGTATACTTTCAACTCAGCCTATGTTTAGAATACCATAACCATGGGCGCCTTATATGAGCGTTCCACAAATCAACACCCAGTTTCCGTACCAGTATTTACCCAGGTCTTTCCTAAATCTATACGTATCCAATTTATATCTATTGTTTCGTATTGTATTTTGTGTTACTATATTCAACACCTAATTAATATCCCTTTCATCTGCTTGTGTTTGTACACTTCAATCATGTCACCCCTAACTCTACGCCTTTATTGTTTTATATCATCTCCAAATATGGAACTGTTACTGTTCACTTCTGTGTATAAATATTTTATATATATATCAAACAAGAGAGGTTCCACGTTCCCAAGACAGAACCCTGGGACACGCAGGTCTTGCAGCCCTCCTGATAGTCACCCGACTAGGCTACTAATTTAATTTCCTCTCAGCACCATTACTGTATTTCTATGACCTTACCCTTCTACCCATACCCTAGATATAAAAATCTTTACGTCCTTCTGTACTTATCATTATTGCTTTATTTCAGCTTTCTTCCGTACTCACCCATTGCTGACTCATCTCTTCTAGCCATTCACTCACTCATACTCTCTACTCCAGACATTCCAATGTACAACCGCCTCCCTAATTACTCTCACTTACCATATACAGTATTAGTCTACGTAACTATATGCTCACTCGTAATATATCCACCCCCTCTTCCCTGCACCTCTCTCACAACCTCTCCTACATCACCTGTATTCCGTCAAGGACGCCTATCTCACTGCCCACACCTGCTTCCCTTCCTCACACCTGCCTCCCTACCCCACACCTGCCCCCCTACCCCACACCTGCCTCCATACCAAACATCTGCATATATTCCCATCCTACTTCCGTTCCTGTCGTTGTTCTAACTCTACGTCAAACAGCGAGTCTAGAACGTCAAACAGCGAGCCTGGATCGTCAAACAGCGAGCCTATAACGTCAAACAGTGAGCCTGAAACGTCAAACAGCGACCCTTTAACATCTAACAGCGAGCCTAAAAGGTGAAACAGCGAGCCTGAAACGTCAAACAGCGAGTTTGAAGCGTCAAACAGCGACCCTTTAACATCTAACAGCGAGCCTAAAACGTGAAACAGCGAGCCTGGACCACTGACTATAGTCTTAAGGAGAGTAATGTGTAATAACAGATGAAGAGTTGTACACGAACTGCTGAAGGTGGCCGTTCAGTAGCACCAACCACTCAATGCCCCAAGTCCACAACAAAGGGATGACTCCCGCTGAATGGTGCGCCACAACCTTGTGACAACGCCTGCTTGATAATGCATCACAACCACGTGACGAAGCCTACTCAATAATGCATCACAACCACGTGACGAAGCCTACTCAATAATTCATCACAACCACGTGACGAAGCCTACTCAATAATGCATCACAACCACGTGACGAAGCCTACTCAATAATGCGCCACAACCACGTGACGAAGCCTACTCAATAATGCATCACAACCACGTGACGAAGCCTACTCAATAATGCATCACAACCACGTGACGAAGCCTACTCAATAATTCATCACAACCACGTGACGAAGCCTACTCAATAATGCGCCACAACCACGTGACGAAGCCTACTCAATAATGCATCACAACCACGTGACGAAGCCTACTCAATAATGCATCACAACCACGTGACGAAGCCTACTCAATAATGCATCACAACCACGTGACGAAGCCTACTCAATAATGCGCCACAACCACGTGACGAAGCCTACTCAATAATGCATCACAACCACGTGACGAAGCCTACTCAATAATGCATCACAACCACGTGACGAAGCCTACTCAATAATGCATCACAACCACGTGACGAAGCCTACTGAATGGTGCGCCACAACCATATATCAATTCGCCTCATAACAATTACCTTTCAAATTATAAAGCATTCTCTCCAGGACTAACCACTTTTAAAACTACAAGCTTTATTTTTATTAAAGATTTTGGTAAGACGGGGGTTCGAAAATCTTGATAGAAATGCAACAACTTTGTTGTCAAGTTTGTGTTAACCGTTTACTTTTGGAATAACAACACGCATAGCAAAAAACGTTTACACGTGGAACAACGAGACGCACGATAACAAAAATCCTTTACACGTGGAACAACGAGACGCACGATAACAAAAATCCTTTACACATGGAACAACGAGACGCACGATAACAAAAATCCTTTACACGTGGAACAACGAGACGCACGATAACAAAACTCCTTTACACGTGGAACAACGAGACGCACGATAACAAAAATCCTTTACACATGGAACAACGAGACGCACGATAACAAAAATCCTTTACACGTGGAACAACGAGACGTACGATAACAAAACTCCTTTACACGTGGAACAACGAGACGCACGATAACAAAACTCCTAATAGGGAGGTGTAGCAGCCCTCTTTAAACTCTTTGTTTACACAGACCAGCTGATATTCTTTAACGTTCACTATGTCCCACGTGAGCGCCACGCAGTTACAGCCTCGCTCCTGTGCCAGGTGAGCCCACTGAGGGCTCACCATAGCCCGTGCTACCATTAACTTTTTGTTCCAGTAGCTGAATCTACAACAATAACAAACAAGTGCGCGCCACTTGGCCAGGGACGGTCCCCCGTCCTGCGTAGAACTACAATAAAAACGACTAGTTTAACTTGGAGCACTTGCACTGGACTAGCTTCCTAACACCGATATATGCCCTCAAACTCTTTAATGTAATCATAGTCCTGCAGAAGGTAATATTATTGTGAAGAAAGCCAACAAAACATACTTTAAATCAAGAAAATCTACAAAATCTATTAAAATCATTGTCATTTGAGTTGTCAAGTTAAGCTATGGACAGAAGCACCCAGGAAAGGGGGTATATGTAACTGGATTTAGGTATTGTATGTACTAGCTCTATCTATAAATCAATCAGAATGTTTGTAAGTGCATCTATGTATGTACTTTTTCTAAATAAAATATTATTATTATTATTAGTATTATTATTATATTCGAGGAAGGTGTGGCGTGGGGAACGTGTGGTAAGAGGAAGGTGTGGAATGAGGAAGGTGTGGAATGAGGAAAGTGTGGAATGAGGAAGGAGTAGTATAAGTAAAAAGTGGCATGAGGACGGAGGGAGGTGTAGTATGAGGAAGCACTGGCAGCAACAGGGAAGACAAGGCCCTGAGAGCGGGAATGGCAGGTGGATGGAGGGAGGACAATGGGTGTTCCCTGTAGCGAGGTGGAGCTATGGGCGGGCGTGGTGACCACGCATTAATATTCACACGCTGAATCCTTCACAGTGACGCCCGAGTTATCTCTATTTCAGGCCATGTTGGGTCAGGTTATCGCTATAACAGAGAAGCTGTGATTGAGGCCCGAGGAAGCTCCTGGGAGGGAGGGGGGGAGGGGGAATAATGCTGGCGGAAATGTGCAGACAACATTTCCACCATCCACGACGCATGCACCACAATACCTCAGGTGTTTCTGTGTGACGGGGTAAAACTGGCCAGGAAACTGCTCGTGTTTGTCGTGTATGAGGAGTGAGAGGAACGTGACACCTACTGACTGACAACACAAGGACAGCCAAGGCCTTAGTAACCCCACCCCCCTCCACCCCCCTCCTCATGACGTCACTCCTTGTTTGTAAACAGAGGGAACGTGAGTGCTGGGCTACCTTGAGTGGGTCTCCAGGCGGGCACCGGCGGGTCTATGGTACTCACCTCAAATACTAATTCTCCTCCTTCACTCAGTCATGATGACGGCGTAAATCCAGCAACGTAGTCTTCTACAGTTTCTTGACGAGAGCCTCTTGGCAGGAAATGTTCCTGCGAATCAATACTATTCACCTGATCAAGGACCGTTTTGGGTCTAGCTCGACACAACAACACAACACCAACTCCTTACACTTAGCGCTTTGGGTAGATTAAATCGTGTTGAATTGAACAATGGGTCGGGATGAGAGAGCTGGAGAGTATCACTATCCCCCTGAGAGCGGCGGGAGGAGACTGAGCCCGTGTGAGGCGCGGGTAGTAACCACAGTGTCAGACTGTGGCTGAGGATGCCACCCCGCCCGACACACCTTGCCTAATGCCACTTGATACGGAACCTTGTCACGTGAAAACCCTCTCCCCTGGCCTTGGGGAGGCTTCCGACCATTTGTTTTTTGTCTCGGGAAAAGCACAAATATAAACAATAGACAAAGACATCCTCTTGAATATAGGGTTTGTGGTACAGCTGACTGTGGCTAGACATATTATACGATATGTTTGTGGTAGGAAGGTTGGTGGTGTGGGTGGCGGGTGTGGAAGTTCTTAGCCAGGGTGAGGCAGCAGGTGGTGGCGGCTGCTGAAGCCAGCCCCTCACTTACATAAAACTGGCAGCCGCCTCCAACACACTAACGCCCTCCCTCCCCCACCACCAAATGGTTTACCGTTCTCGAGGACAAGAAGCCTACTTACCTATCAATGACCACAGGGAAGTGAGGTCTAGCTTCTCGTGTCCCGCCTACCAGCCTTGTTGTACCTGTTGCGTGATAGTTTAACTTTTCTGACGTTTGAACTCTTTGTCGAATCTGGCCTTAAAGTTGTAGATAAAGGTGGCTTCTACAACTTCTTTTAATGCTTTCCACCTGTTGACCACCTATACAAGGAACGAGTATTTTACGTTTCTTCGACTTATTTGCGTTTCCAGCTTCCACGTGGAAGCTGGAAACACCAATAAATCCGCCAAACACACACCGAAACTACGACGTTGGTACAACGTTCGAACAAGTTTTAACACCACCTAACCAGTTATAACAACCAATATAGCAAGTTGTAACAACGTTCTAATACGTCATAAACACGTTAAGCCAAGATGTAACAACTTTATTACAAGTTGTAACAAGCGGAAAATAGAGACAGCTTCGGTTTGTGTTTCCAGGTACCTGTGACCTCTTGTCCTAAATTATCTTAATTTAAAGAGGTTGTTATTGTCTATTTCCCTTAATACCTTGTATGTTGTGATCATATCTTCTCTGCTCTACGGTTGAGAGACTTGGCTCTCTCAATCTATCCTCGTAGCTTAATCCACTTAGCTCAGGCACTAATTTAGTTAGGCTTGTCGAGGTTCCCCTTACCTGGACAGCGCCAGAATGCAACCCACAACAATTGAGTAACTCCATGTTACCTATTTCTGCTTGGGGAACATGCAATCAAGTGCCAGGAAACGTGGAAAATATACTCACAGGACAAATATTCATTCTCACCAGTACCCTGAATCTATAATTAAATTGGAATATTCATTAGGCGTACATCAGCCCAAGCGTAGAATATACAGCTCCAAAATGGAGTCAAACCTGGTAAAATACAAGAAGAAAATGTATTTCTACGTATATGTTACGAACTTAGTAAAGATATGAGCTCTGAGAACAAAGAGAAACGACACTAGAAGAGACACCAAAGGCGACATGATCACAATATACAAAATACTGTAGGGAATAGCCAAAGTAGAAAGAATTTGCCAGGTGAGGGACAAGACTCAGAGGGCACAGGTAGAACTTAACAAAAAAAGAGATGAGCCAGAGAAATATAAGGAAATGTATGCAGTGGGAGTGAGAAACAAAATGAATTAACATGAAGTGGGTGGTGGTTGCTACAGCGACCACCATTCATAACTTCAATATCCAGTACGGCAGAATAGGCCCAACGTATATAGGTCTATATATGTAGGGATATATATAGGGATGGACCCCTAGTAAACAACTTTTTGTACAATTAATTTTAGTCAGGAAAAAATAAAGGTAAAAGATAACGTAAATATTCCTAGGCCTAGTATAGTACATATATGTACTTACTGTATTAGGCCTAAGGTGGCGTGTATTAGGCCTAAGGTGGCGTGTATTAGGCCTAGGATTGCTAGCATAGGTTAGGTTATTTATCTAACCTAACATTACCATTCAGCATTCTAACGTTTCTATTGATAGCCTAATATTTTACTAAACAAATTTTACAAGTGATAACGCCTTGCGGCCACACAGATTAGTTATAATTTCCAGAGATTGTGCGTCTCAGGAACACGAACTCAATCCCGTCTGGGATTTTATGCCAAGTGGGATTTGTAATGGAGCCAACCAGACCTGCACTGGCATGAGACCACGTGCAACAAAGCCAAGGGAGAGGAGGTAGAGGTTGAGGACCTGAGGTACAGGAGGCATATATATATCTCCGAGGAGATCAACTAGAACACGGGAGACATCTCCAGTCACGCAGGGTGCAGTCGCACCTCCACAGATCTCCAGTATCATCTATTGATACTGGTAATGGCTCAAAAGGGCCACCACTTATGGGCTATTCATGCCCATGCCACCTTTTGGGTGGCTTAATCTTCTCTCTCTCTCTCTCAACTAGAACTTAATTCTTGCTGCGTCTTCCACGTAGTTACAAAGCATCAATATTTAGTTAATTAATTCACATGATTAATATCGATGAGCACTTGTATGCGCAGTCCCCGTGGCGCTGTGGTAAAACACTTGCTTGGCGCTTTGGCCTGGGTTCGTATCCTGGCCGGGGAGGATTTACTGGGCGCCAATCTGCCAATGGCGCCAATTGTTTGACCCCCAATTGGTTTGGTGTTGGGCTTAAGGCCTTTCAACCTCTGGGGGATTATTAAAGGCACCACAAATACTGACCAGCCAGCACAAAATATTTTAGTCCTGAATTACACTTGTATATATATATATTACATGGAATTGTTTCTTCCTCTCTAGCTATAGTTTGAAGACTCGTGATCCTTTCTTATCTCTGATGATTGCCAAGATAACAAATTACAAAATCCTCGTGTATCTTCATTTGTTTCTGTATGAGTTTCATAATTCTATGTATTATGTATGATTACTTGATTTGTTTTAGAGGCTAGGGCTCCAGTTCTTGGATACCTTTCCCTCCTTTGACCATTTATAGTATTTACCCCTAAAGTTGTGACAGGTTTTCTAATATTTAACACTGCGTCGGGTCCCAACCGTCCGCAACACGATTTGAGAAGAGGCATGTCCTCAAGTGCCTCCTGCAGATTGTTTTGCTAGTTTAAGTGTGTGTTCGCTGACTATATATTCAAGTTCAAGTATGTTTATTGAGATAAGCAATAAATACATCTCAAAGGGATAGTGTAGCTTAGGCTATTTCTACCCCCCACACTGACTCTATAACCTTAGTGCTACTGAAAATGGTTATCAAGTCTGCCGCTTTCCGTTTGCCTTCCAGAGAGGGTAAGTTCTAATAGTGTATATTTACCATTTAAGCTGGTATGTTTTCGGTGCCCTGTGTGTGTGTGTGTTAAAGGTCCTGCACGAGTGGTAATGTTGGGAGACACGACACAGCGCCTCGTCACTGTTTATTTGGCCTGGCTTGGGAACTGTTGTTGCTTTCAGTACATGCAAACTTAGCTCGTCTTGGCCACTAAACAAGACGTGGTTTTTCTGTTTTTGTTTGGAGTTTAAGAGCTGATACGTCTGCTGGGGAGGATTGTTGTTATTGTTGTGTTTATGGCGCCAGCTGATTGTTGCTGCTTTTTTTGTCAGGGTTTCGTTTTCTATTTGTCCGTCCCGGGAGTTTGAGTTCTATGAACAAGTTAAATATGGCTTAATTCTTTAGTTGACTGGAGATATTTAGCCAATGCTTTGGCTATTTAATATATATGTAGTGAGAGATCCCCTTCCCCTAATATATGCTCGATAATGAAATGCAGTTTGAGGGTGGCAGATACTGGCTTGAAATTTACTCTGGCACAATGATGTCTGAAACAGTGAAGGAGGTAATGTTCAATTTTCTCTCGACCATGGCAGTCGATGCCAAGTCCATTTATGTCTCCTGTATTTACAGCTGTGTGCTGCTAGTTTGCTGTGTCACAACCTTAGTCAGGTCATTGTGATATCACAATAAAAACAAATACATGATATCTATTTATCAGGTATACAAGTTACTTGGTGTTCTGCAGATAGTTAATAATTTATAGTAACGCTTAGGTCGTTTTATTTTAAGGATATCTGCAGTATCTTGGGGCACGGGAGACATCTCCCGTCACGCAGGGTGCAGTCGCACCTCCACAGATCTCCAGTATCAGCTAATGATACTGGTAATGGCCCCAAAGGGCCACCACTTACGGGCTATTCATGCCTGTGCCACCTTTTGGGTGGCTTAATCTTCATCAATCAGTATCTTGGGCACTGACTCATTGTATGTATACTCCACTGACTTATAGTATGTATACCCCACTGATGTATTGTATGTATACCCCACTGATCTATCGTATGTATACCCCACTGTCCAATCGTATGTATACCTCACAGAGTGTCATATATATATATATATATATATATATATATATATATATATATATATATATATATATATGTCGTACCTAGTAGCCAGAACGCACTTCTCAGCCTAATATGCAAGGCCCGATTTGCCTAATAAGCCAAGTTTTCCTGAATTAATATATTTTCTCAAATTTTTTTCTTATGAAATGATAAAGCTACCGATTTCATTATGTATGAGGTCAATTTTTTTATTGGAGTAAAAATTAAAGTTGATATATGACCGAACCTAACCAACCCTACCTAACCTATCCTATCTTTATAGGTTAGGTTAGGTAGCCGAAAAAGTTAGGTTAGGTTAGGTTAGGTAGGTTAGGTAGTCGAAAAAAAATTAATTCATGAAAACTTGGCTTATTAGGCAAATCGAGCCTTGCATAGTAGGCTGAGAAGTGCGTTCTGGCTACTAGGTACGACATATATATATATATATATATATATATATATATATATATATATATATATATATATATATATATATATATGGGTGTGAGTTTTCAGTTGCATATAGTCCTATATATATATATATATATATACATATATATACATATATATATATATATATATATATTTATATATATTGTGACGGTAACGCGTTGGTGTTCGGCTGTTCAAAGCTAGGGGTATGGCCTCGTCACATAGAAAAAAAAATAGAAAATCTGGAACTTCGTCTGTGGTAAGGTAAGGAGAAGACACAAAACACAAGTAAATTTTAACAATGAAATTTTAATTACGT